GCAATTTATGGAGCACTTCTCGAAGTCCTCTCCACCACAGCATTAAAAGCCTCTGTTCGACAGGTAACAAAAACTCCACCACAAGAGCCAAGTCACAAACGATTCAAAGGAACTGAAGCGATCGTCTTCACCGATAGTGTCGTCGTCCCCAGCATGTGTGCCCCCACAGCGATGCCATGGTTATCGAGGCCATCATAGGTAACGTGGGGGTAAGTCGCGTGTACGTCGACAACGGTAGTGCGGTCGAATCTACAATGATTGTTTCAAGAGAATGAACATACAAAACCCAGACTTGCGCCCCGCTACCTTACCATTGATGGGCTTCTCCGGGCACACGATAATCCCAAGCGGGATCGTTAGGCTTCCAATCACGGTAGGGACGTATCCTCGAACGGTAAATCTAACTATGGATTTCGCCATAATTGATGCTCCCTCGCCATTCAATGTGATCCTAGGACGGCCGTAGATGTGCCAAGCCCGCGCTGTATGGTCACCTTGCCATTTAGTTATGAACTTCCCAACTGAATACGGGATAGGAATAGTCCAAGGCTGCCAACGCAGTTCTAGAGAATGTCTTCTCACGGCAGTAAAAGTAGGGAAGAAAGCGATAAAGCAGGAGCCGACAGTCACTTCATCAGGATGCTACTCAATTCAACAGGGTGTGGCACAAGTAGAGGATAAAGAGAGAAAGCAAGAAGTCTCGAGCGCGGATGTTGAGCAAAACCCGCCACTCAGTAGTAAGACAGAAGAGTTAATCTTGGATGAGAAAGAACCAGGAAAAACTATTAAACTAGGGATATCCATTGAGGGTGCACTACGGACTGAAATAATCGCCTTATTGCGGACCTTTCGAGACATCTTCGCGCGGTCGCCATCCGATATGACCGGAGTTCCTCGACACATTATCGAGCACAAGCTAAACATTGATCCAAATGTCAGACCGGTGAAAAAAAAGAAGAGGATCTTCGCTTGAGATCGCAATAATGTAATTAACGAGGAAACCCTCAAGTTAGTGCGAGCCAACATCCTGAAAGAAGTGCTTTGGCCAACTTGGCTGGCCAACCACGTCCTCGTCCGCAAACCTGACAATTCCTGGCGTATGTGCCAAGATTACACGGATCTCAACAAATACTGTCCAAAAGACTGTTACCCCTTGCCCGTAATCGACCAAATGGTAGAAGGTATTACAGGCTACAGGACTCTCAGTTTCCTCGACGCGTATAAAGGATACCACCAGATTCACATGGCCGAGGAGGACGCGGAAAAGACGGCTTATATCACAGAGATCGGAGTATACTGTTACGACAAAATGCCGTTTGGGCTGAAAAATGCTGGAGCTACCTACCAGCGTTTGGTTAATAGAGCCTTCCATAATCAGATAGGGAGAAACATCGAGATATACGTGGATGACATGGTTATCAAGAGCAACTCGGACTACAAAGTGGTCGAGGACATGCAGGAGATCTTCACAATCCTGCGCGAAATCAACATGAAACTCAATCCAAAAAAGTGCGCCTTCTGTGTAGGGTCTGGAAAGTTCCTCGGATTTCAAGTATCCAAGGAGGGGATAAGCGTAGACCCTGCAAAGGTTGAAGCAATCCTATCAACGGAAGCCCCGAAAACTGTCAAGGACGTACAAAAACTCACAGGATCCCTAGCAGCACTCAACATGTTTCTATCTCGAGCAGCAGAGAGAAGCCTTCCCTTCTTCAAAACTCTAAGAAAAGGGAAGGGTTTCCAATGGACCGATGAATGTCAAAAAGCCTTCCAGGAGTTAAAAGAACACCTCAAACAACTCCCTATGCTCGCAAAGCCACAACCGGGTGAAGTTCTATACATCTATTTGGCTGCTCGAGAAATGGCCATCTCCGCAGTGCTAATCCAGAAGAAAGATAATAAGGAGCTCCCAGTCTATTTCGTCAGCAAAGTCTTACAGGGAGCAGAATCTCGATATACCCCCATGGAGAAACTTATCCTGAGCCTTGTGTTCGCTGCACGACGGTTGCGTCCGTACTTTCAGGCCCATCCTATACAAGTCCTAACTGAACAACCCATCCAACAAGTCCTCCTCAAACCTGAAGCTTCAGGCCGAATGATGAAATGGGCGGTCGAGTTGGGGGAACATCACATCGAGTACAAACCCCGTACAGCCGTCAAAGGACAGGCGTTCGCAGATTTCCTGGTAGAAATGCCCAGAACCCCGGGAACCACGCAAGAACCGATTTTCAGGAAACAACTGCGCGAACAACCCCCCACAGATCCTCGAGCCTGGACCCTATACGTCAACGGCTCTTCCTGCAAAGATGGGAGAGGAGCAGGTATCATCCTAGCAAAACCAGTCGCATCTCGAGAAATCGAGGAACTGAAGGAATACGATGCAGAATATTCCTATGCTCTGAGGTTTGGTTTCCCGGTCACCAACAATATTGCCGAATACGAGGCAATGATTACAGGGTTAAACGTGGCCCTCAAATTAGGAGTTCAAAACCTGCAAGTATTCAGTGACTCTCAAGTAGTGGTCAAACAAATCAAAGGCGAATACACAGTCCGGGAGGAGCATCTCCGACCATACCTCGAGAAGGTCTTACAAATCAAAGATAAATTTGAAGAGTGCTCCATCTCCCATGTTCTCAGAACCAACAACAAGAGGGCCGATGCTTTAAGTAAGCTCGCCTCATCCAATTTCGCTAACCTCAGTCATAAGGTTTGGGTCGAGACACTCCCAGAGCCCAGCATTCACCCTAGAGTTTCCATGGCTATCACCGAGGACGGAGAAACGTGGATGACCCCGTTCATCCGCTTCCTCGAGAATGGAACACTCTCCGACAACAAACAGGAAGCTCGAGCATTGAGGTTAAAGGCAGTTAAATACACCTTGAAGGATGGAATTCTCTACAAGCACGGGTATTTGTTGCCAATGTTACGGTGCGTCGGAGCAAATCAAGCAGTGTACATCCTCGAGGAAGTCCATGAGGGGTCGTGCGGAGCACACATGGGGGCAAGGAGGTTGGCAAAGAAGATACTTCGAGCCGGATACTTCTGGCCCACAGTTTTTAAAGACGCTTACCATTTCGTCCAAAAGTGCGACAGATGCCAAAAGTTTTCACCAATAACTCGACAACCACAGCACGAGATGGTAACCATGCAAAGTCCTTGGCCGTTTTACCAATGGGGAACTGACATCATCGGCCCTTTTCTGAAGGGGGCAGGAGGACTACGATGGGTTATAGTAGCTGTGGATTATTTCACCAAATGGGAAGAAACGAAACCGTTGGCCTCGATATCGGGAAGACAAGTGTTGAATTTTTTCTGGCAGAACGTGGTTTGCCGGTTCGAAGTTCCCAAGGTGGTCGTGTCGGATAACGGAACCCAATTCGAAAGTGAACCTTTCAAATCATGGTGCGCAGAAATGCAGATCGAGCGCCGGTTCTCCGCCGTCGCCCATCCTCAGGCAAATGGACAAGCTGAGTCAATTAACAGAGCCATCCTACACGGAATAAAGACAAGACTGAATAATACAAAAGGGCTTGGGTCGAAGAACTCCCTCAAGTTTTATGGGCTTATCGCACCACATCACACTCCTCGACGGATGAAACACCTTACAGCTTAGTCTATGGAATGGATGCCGTTCTTCCGGTCGAAATTGGTTTACCGAGTCCTCGAGCAATTAACTTTGTCGAGGACACCAACAACGAGGATATCCGGACTAACCTCGACCTGCTCGAGGAGTGGCGGGATGCCGTAAAAATCCGAGAAGCTAAGTACAAGGAGGTCCTCCAAAGAAACTTCAACAAGCGTGTTAAAAGCACCAACTTCGTAGTAGGGGACTTAGTCCTCAGGAAGAACGACGCCAGTCAAGCAGAGACCCTAGGAAAACTAACGGCCAATTGGGAAGGGCCCTATCGAGTCATTCAAACCTCTCCTTCGGGCAGCTACCGATTGCAGACAACCGACGACACGGGAGCTGTCCTCCCTCGATGGTGGAACATTCAGAATCTCCGCAGGTTCTATGTTTAGATTCCTTGCATACTACGTGAGACTTTGTTTGCTAAGTGATTTTATTGCTTTCAGTCATATGTGTGTAATGCTAACCCGGGTCCTCGGGTAATTATCAATAAGAGTCATTACATACGTCATTCAATAAATTCATTACTCGTCATATATGTTGCTTGCGCATGTCGACACTACCCCATGACTAGTCACCGAGATGGACACCCGTTACAGGGCCATCCTCGATATGGGCCGGGCACTCAAACAACCGGACCCCTAAGCCGAGGACTTCCCCTCGCACCCGTCGTAGATCGCGGCATCCGCACTTCGAGGAATCCGTATCCGATTCCTCGACAAAATCCGCGTAATTAACCGCCGGCTAAACAAAGTGCTATATAAATTCTAGAATATCATTAACTGGCGCTAACACGGCTTAGCCCAAATACAATTCCTCGCACCAAGTACAGGTTTAAAAGAAAAAGAAAAGGGGAAATATACAATGCATCTGCCTAAATTCGGAGGTCCTTCCCTTTCGGGTTAAAACGAGAAGGCTTAATAAGTCCGGACCACCCCATCGACCTAAGCTTATGGACGCAGTGCCCAAGCTTATCCTTTAAATCTAGAATCTCCAAGTCTTGATCATCGATTCTAAGAAGATATTCCTCAGCAGCAGCTCGCTCCCGGGCTTCATCCTCCGGATCGAGGTCGTCAAGAATAGGCAGGGAAATCTCGTTGTCCACCAATAAATTTTAAAAAATGACAGCTTGTTTCGAATAGAACTCCACCTCCTTGGATCTTTTCTTCAAAAGGTCGATAGCGGCAATAAAACGTTCAGTCCGGATCTTTATCTGCGACTCGACCAAAGCGAGTATGTCAAGCTTTTCGAGAAACCATGGGGAAACAACAATGTTCTCCCGCTTCTTCAATCGAGAGTTCTCCGACTTCAGTTTCTCCATCTCCTCGTAAATATTCGCTTCGAGGGACAAAGAAGCATGAAAGTCTAAGTCATACTAATGAAGTCGGCGCTTCCACTCTTCCTCTTGTCGCTTAAAGCGTTGTACTAAGCGATGATGTGTCCGTAGATTCAGCGCTTTAACAACATCTGAAAGTTCTTTCTCGAGAAGCTTCACCTTGCTTGTATTGTGAACATCCCCAAATTTCCTCAAAATTGAGGAGATCATCGCGTATAAGGGAAACTGCGTAATCTCCTCTTCCTCGAGAATCAGTAGGTGACAATGATGAACAAAATATGAATCCTGGAACAGGTGACATAAATATTAAAAGTGAGCCAGCCTGATCGGCAAAAGAGTTCAACGATTCATACAAATTTGCTAAGGTCTACAACCTTATCCATAAAAATCCTATTACAAAGAAGAGGGTCATACTTCCTTTGGGCCCTGAGACTGTGTCGGTTGGTTTTCGTTGGTCTCCTTGGCGGAAGGAGGGACCGGCGTTTCCTCCGGATCGGGACGGCTTTGTCCATCATCCTCGACGGGTCCCTCCGAAGAGTCCTCTTTCCACTCCACCTCGACGCCGATGAAGTCGGGAGCTAACTCTGGAACACGCACCTCTTCCCCGGCGTCATCGGGAAGCAATGTGAGGACCTCCCCCTCGAAGGATGAAATCTCCATCGAGGATTTCATCTCTGGGACGGTGCTACACAGCGGCCCAAATAAGGGAAGTTGCCCGTCGGAAAGTCGCTGCACTCCCTTCTTGAGAGCTTCATGGAGTGTCTTCTTCGGATGCGGCCTTATAAATTGTTGTAGCCATCCGGCGTTGATGGTCTTGCCGCTTTCCATCCTTTCAAGGGCAGCAACAGCTACGCCATGTCCCCCGAGAATCTTAGCCTCGTTGCTAATGCCCACCAGAATACTTGCCAGCCCATCCATGGACATCATCCTCGACCAAAAATGCATTATCCAGGCTGGTAGCTCGGATCGAGGAACATGAGTCTCCCTGCACTCGGACAGTTTGGCCTCAAGCTCCTTATACATAGCCTGAACACTGGCCAATTCCTGCTCTCTGGAAAGTCTCAAAGCCTCCTCCCTCTTTCTTGAGGCTTCACTCGACTGCTTCTCTTGTTCCAGGACCCCTTTCTCAGCTTGAAGACTCTGAATATCCCGTTTCAAGGTCTTCTCACGCATAAGAATGCTAGCCATCGCCGTAGTTAGCTGCAACACGAAACGTTAACAAAAAGCAACACGGTACCCCCGAGAAAACATAAATCAAGATGAAAATATTACCATTTTCAGCGACTCTTCCTCCGTCAGAGCCTCGGCGACTTCCTCAATGATGGGGCCCTCGATCCTATTGTCCACAAAATGGTATATGGCAGCGGCAGCAGTGAATGTCGAGGAACCGTCGGTGTCCTCGATGCTTTTCTTCTCGAGAGTAGCTTCAATAGGCTTGAACCACTCCGGATGCCGCTCCGTCACTGGAACCACCTCGGGTACCTTGTCCTCGAGTATTGGAGCCTCCACCTCTTCAACGATTGGAGAGGTAACCTTCGAAGGATCATCTTCTTTGTCCACCTCGATCGGGACGGGCTCCTCGACCTGCTTCTCTACCCCCTCGAGGATGGGAGTCTTCTTCTTCTTAGCCTTGGCACTTGCGTCGGACGCCTTCACCAGACTTCTCAGCTTCCTCTTTTTGGTGACCTTGTTGGAAGAGCCCTCGTCATCTGAATTTTTAATTTCAAAAATCTTGGCGTCACCAAACAACCCAATGGTATCTTTGCTGGAGGACATGACCTAAAAACAAAAATAAAGCACATAGCAAGTCAGTACCTTTTCTCTTCTTGACGGGAACTTGGGGGACGTAATGTTGCATTGCTGTGTAGCCTAGGATGTCCTCGACAGATTCCAGGGAATCGATATCCACCCTGTACTTCTCAATTCTGGCCTTATCGTGTTTGGACCAGGTGTCTGCCACGCCACCCATATCATGAGCTTCTCAATAGTCCCAGGCCATACAAACATCGTCGGGAGCCGAAACAAAAAGGTAATTCGGCTTCCACGATGGGGCACCGTCGAAGAGTTCTATTATACGTTTTGCCTTGGAGGAAACGTTGGTCTTCACGTTATACCAGTCCTTGTACTTGGTCGAGGGAACACAGACCTTAAAAAAGTACCTCCATACCAACAATCGAGGCTTTATCCTCTTTATTTGACACAGCTTCATAAAACCGAGGACAGTAGTGACTAGGTTTGGAGTAAATCGAGCAAACAGGATCTTATAATACTAGACTAACCTACAGAATAAAGGGTGCAGGGGGAACCGTAGGCCGAGAAACATCGACCTCTCGTACACAGTGATTGTCCCCTCTGGTGGATTGTTAGCCCTCTCAGTCCCTACGGGAGCTCGGTAATCTAGATCTATTGGGAAGTTATATTTTTCAGCAATAAAATCAGCCTTTTCAGCAGAATCTATGGTCGATGCAAAATCGGAAACCATTTGAGACGCCATACCTATCCTAGTATGTGCAAGTCTAACCAAGTTCAGGCAAAGCAAAATATATGCACTAACAAACAATGATAAGAACGTCCGGAAGTTAGGAGACTTACGTGTGAAATAATGCTCTTTGATTGAAGCCCGTCGGAGGGATAATTCGGACTCTGTTTGGTGGCGGTATTTGATAACAAAGAAAGATGCACCGGAATAAGAGAATACGGATTCTTCTGGATTTGGAAAAAAAAAAGAGATATATGGCCAAAGTCCTTGGCTCTTCTCCCAGTTAAACAAATAGGAGGCACCCTCTTTCCCACGACCCGACATCGTGGCCAAAATCCAAGGCACTCATAATTGCCCAGCCGTCGTTTGGGAAACGTGCGTGTTAGTGGGGTTTAATTTCCGTTCAGATGGGATTCAAATTAGACGGGTCGCCTCCCCGGATCGGGTTTTCACCCGCGGACAGCAGCATTTGGGCTGGGCTGAAGTTTGTGTCTTTCATATGGGCCAGGTCAGTTTTATTTAAGTGTCAAAGTCTTATTTATTTTCGCATAATTAATACTTGACAGGGGCACTTGACGAGTCGAGATTCATCACCATCACTGGGCCGGCCCACTACTTGGTCTTGGGGTCAAAACCATCCCGATATGGCAGTCTATTATTGATAATCCTAGTAGGAATCAGATTTCCCCCAAGCCTCTAAATAGGGACCTTTATTCGACACAAAAGGTACGCAATCTTAATTATCATATCAGCATACATACAACCCCATTTTCTAACTTAAGCTTCGGAGTGTCTACCCTCGGGAGACGCCCGAGGCTCTGTTTTGCAGGAAACCCTAGCAGGAGTTCCACCCAATACCGGCGGTACAAATCCAAGTATCGTCAGACACATCAACCTGATTCATATTTCTCAAACCCGGACTAAGGGTTCTATGCTTTATTTTTCGGAACGTGAGAAATGGCAAGCGGGTCGGTTGAACGGATATAAATAAGCTTAAATGTTTGTGTACCTTCTTCAAGGTCAGATGGTTATAATTCTTGAGTTTTGTCTGGAGTTCTACTCGAGAGAATTTTCTCGAGTCACACTATCCCTGCATTGATGTGATCACATGCGGCATCTTCTACGGTGTCTTCTACCTTCTACTTTCCCTCCTCGATCGAGGATACTTATAGTGAAAGTCTCTACTCTCTAATGCTCTATGACTCTGAGCTGGACTATTCAAGTCTCCGGGGCCCTTAACATTTCTTTCCAGAAAAGATTATGCTGGGGCAAGTTCTTAAGGTGCAGTGCAATTCTAGACAGTGTTCATTCTTAAACTTATTTTCTCGACATCGAGTATTCTCTGTCTTCTTTCGTGATACTTCTCGATCCACTATTCAGTGGTTGTTATCGAGGGTGGGTCTATTACTTCTCGATCAGAAGCTTACGTCACATTCCCCCAGTAGACTCCTCATTCTTACAGTTGATATTTCTTAGCCGCTGCTAAAGACACAAATTTTGAAACTAGTAAGAATCTCCACTACGTTTCCTTCTCGATCCTCTCAACAAGGCATCTGCTTTGGTATCTCTATGTGGCAGATTATTAAGATCATCACTTATCGACTTCTCACTCAAAAGTTTGAACTGATACTCTTCTCTCTTCACAAATCGGCATAAATGTCAATCACCCTTTACAACACGTAGATTCGAAAAGGTACGCGTTAATGCTTTCATTGCTTTGGTTTCTCCTCGATGCTAACCTGTTGCAGGTTCTCGATTCAAGTCAGTTCTTTTCGAACTTGAGGAAACTTTATACTTCATATTATCAAGCCTACCCTATCTTTAGACTTCGAAGTATAGGCTTGATAAGGGGCACTTGATGAGTCCTAATTATACAGTCCACGACTAGGCCGGCCCAAGTTCGACAAGCGGTTCAACCGGCCCCTGGAAACTTCTAGGGCGGTTGCTAATTACTTTCCTACCAAGAAAAGAGTTTCACAAATAGGTAACCCTAGTTCTATAAATAGGGATCAACCCCTCAAATAAAAGGTACGCTCTACACACCACAATTCATACCCTTATTACAAATACTCTTACTGAATTAAGCATCGGAGTGTCTACCCTCGGGAGACCCTGAGACCCTCTTATGCAGGTTTTAGGATTTTGATACTGCCATGGCTGCTAGTTCAATCAACTGGAGATGTCGGTGCAGATTCATACTTTGTCATAGGCGTGGACTGATCAAATTGCAGTCTTCTTAATATAATCCGCTTAATTACACTTTGGTGCTTCCACCAGTATTGCTTGCTCGTGATTTGAGTATACATCTACACCAGCTGCTGTTCAAAGGAATCTTTACCATATTTCACCAGTTGAAACCTCAAGGGTGCATTAATTGGTCTCAACTTGTTTCGTTTGAGTATTATATATATGCAAGAGTAATTGCATAGTCCTTTGTCGTTAATGGGGCGTATATAATACTGTATCATACTAAAAGATCTTAATATCCAGGAAGACATGGTCTCTGGTGAATATGATCCACAAGAACATGGTAATGAAAATTTATGACTAAAGATCCAATTTTATTGATCTTACTTGTGCCTCATACTTCCGTTTATTCCTTCCTACTAATGCAACCACTTTAAGACACCGAAGGCCCCAGATTTTAGCGAAAATAAAAACGAATATCTTGACCTTTGATCTTGTTTCATCGAAGTATTGTTGTACCATCTTCATATCATCTTAGTTATTTGAGCAGGAGGCAATGCGCTCAACAGAAAGTTCAGATCAGACGAAGAAGGACATATATCGTGCATTTTCGTACTGGTGCTGATGAAAGAATAAGTTGAATATTGAAGCACATCTGCAAATCAGGTTTCCTGGCACTCAGATTTTTTTTTTTTTTTAACCGTTTTACTTTTTGCTCATCTCCTCTTCTCTATGCTTATCAATGGCTGTACATGTTGATGATAGAGAATCACTTTGATGAGCGCATCGATATTCAAGAAGCCCAAAGGAGTTTTGAACTCAAAAAGATTATAAAAAAATGAGGCGTATCTTACCCAAAAGAACAGTAATAATAATGGAAGAAGAAATTCACTCAATGATCAAAAACATGCATAAACGGCTTCAAATCAAAAGAGATGTACCAAAAAAATCAAAGCCCACTTGTTTCACAATAAGATCTGAATTTCCCCACAGCTCTATCTGTCGTTGCTCAATTTGTTTCACCAATTTTTTTGTTATCTTAGAACAATAAGTTACCTCAATTGTCTCAAGTGTGGGAACGTTCTCCAGACAATTACTAGGCATCTCTTCCAAATCGAAACAGTCTCTCAACACCAACTTCTGAAGACATTCAAATTGATCATCGCCGGCTATCCACCTGACAAGCTTAACTCTTCCCAACTTCAAAACTCTAAGTTGGGTAAACTCCCCTTCTTTCATTTCCCATGTTTTGCCTTCCAATTCTGTATCGGATAATGTCAAGACTTGAAGGTTTGGGAGTTTACCAATGGTTGACATATCCTCCCAAGACACAATACAGGGTCCCAACTTCAGTTCTTTCATATTTTCAAGGAAACTGAACTTGACCACTTTATGAGAAGTTCCTAACAAAAAAAGTGACTCAAGTTGCCTCAAAAAGTGAGGAACAATGTCCGTGTGAGGATACTTTGATTCCTCATCTTCATCGTAGCCAATAAGGCATTTCAATTTGCGGATGTTTGGAAATTTTGTCATTGCCCTTTCCAAGCTGCAATCGCGTGGAATAGCTGCACCAAAAAACACATCCAACTCACTTAAGATGGGTGAGATGTCAATGTTTTCGATCGGCACAATACCAAACGATTCAGTTATGCAAAGATACTTTAATTTCTGTAGATTCCAGAGACTATCCGGCAACGAAATCAGGTTTCTATGAGGATTCACGATAAGAGTTTCCAAATTTGACAGCTTAGCTATGGATGATGGGATGCATCTGAATCTGCCTCTGATTGCCAGGAATGCCAACTGAACCAGCAAACTTATTTCACTTGGAAACTCGCACCTCAAGTTAATTTTCTCCAGATCCAACACTCTTAGAAGTTTAAAGATGCTGATCACAAATGAGGCATCTTTTATTGCTTCTGGGCAGTGCAGTGTCCTACGAGGGTCGTTGAATAACATAGAACGGGCACGTGGACAAAACAACTTGGATTGTTTGAAATGCTCAACCTCAGAGTGGATGCATAACCTGCGAAGGTTGCAGAGCTCGTTAAATGCCGAAAGCTCACCATATCCTTTCACGAGATGGAGAAAATGATCATCTTTGGCTTTCTGCAAGATATAATCACGAAGCAAGTCATGAATTCGGCATGTTTTAACTCCACCGTTCCATCTTTTTTTGGCAACCACAATGAGACTTCTTCCAATTAAATCATTGAGATAATCTTCAGCAACATCTTTTTTGCGCTTTCCCTCACCTTTACCTACAAATCCTTCAGCCATCCAAAGGTAAAGCAGCCTCTCTGTTGGAATCTCTACGTCTTCGGAAAATGCTCCAAAATAGAGCAGGCATGGTTTTAAGTGATCGGGTAAATGTTTGTAGCTGAGTTCCAATGATTGCATACAGTGCTCTGTAACGGATGCATCTCCTGAGCTTAAATCTTTCAAAATTTTCACCCAATCTTCTGGCTTAGTTGTTCCCACAATTCCAGCTACGAGGATGATGGTCAGCGGTAAACCCTTACAGTATGCTACAAATTGCAGCACCAAATCATGTAATGCAGGATCCAAAAAACCACCATTTCCTGGCAATAACTTCTTCTGGAATAATTCCAAACTCTCCTTTTCATTGAGTGGCTGAAGAAAATGAGGTTCTTGGTCGAGCATGTGTTTAGGAGCAATGCCCTGATGACGACTCGTCAAAATGATTCTACTTCCATAGTTATCAGGAGGGAACGCTGGTGCCAAGCTATTCCATGCTTCAATGTCCCATATATCATCTAACAATATGAGATATCTTTTCCCTTTCAAACTGCGCCAGAGCCTTTGTACTAAGTCTTGTTCATTGAGCTCGGAGCATCCGCAGTTCGGATCAACCTGTTTCAAAAGTTGAAACAAGACTCTCTTTTTGTCCAGTTCTTGCGAGATAGGACACCATGCACGGACTTGAAAGTGATAACAAATAGAAATATCATTGTAAACTTTTGTTGCTAAAGTAGTCTTACCTACTCCGGGCATACCCACAATGGCAATGACTTTCAGTTTCTTCAGTCTATTCGTCAGTCGATCCTTGATTAGTTTTGCAGCATCAGCGAAACCTACAACCTCATTTTTTGTCGTTCGTGATGGCAGGCGATTATAAGTCATGGTTGCTACTTTCGGTCTCTTTTGTTGTCTTTTGCCTTCAATTCCCGGTATCGTAACTTTGATTTTGGGCTTGATATCTCTGATGTCTTCCATGATTGCATCAACTAAAGTTGAAGAAGAAATTGGAAGATCAGAAACCAGTAAGTGGTCTATGAGACACTCCACCTTGTAAACAACCTCTAAAACAAGATTCCAAAGAGCTTGAACTTCTTCATTTTCTTGGTAAAACTCCACAATGTCTCCTAGGAATGATCTTAAGTAGAAAAGTTCTTCATGGATAGTTTGAACATACTTACTGTTGGCAGTTGGTTCAGCTTCACGACATCTCAGGTCCGCCAGTTTTTCCAACACAAAATCAACGTAACCCAACTGATTAGTTTTAGGGAAGTTGAAATCTGGTACTGGCGGATCCTCCTCTCCAAGTTGTAGCAGAGTAGTCTTGAATGTTTTCAGCAGATCATGAAAACATTCAAGATCTACTTCTGTATGTGGGTGGTACAGTGAGAAAATTAAGACACCGGCATCATGTAACAACGACACAATGTCTGCCTTAATGCTGTCAGGCAGCAGCTGCTTGAGAATGGTCCGCAAGGATCTAAATTTGCGGTAAAGCTCCTGCATCTGATCCTTCACAGAAATCAAACAATCAGTATTATTAAGCCGTAGGAGTTCCCAAAGATGATCAATGAGGCAATCAAGGAAATTCTTGGTTGCAATGAAGGCGCCGTCATCAATGTGTTGATCAGCGAGAGCAGGGGACTGTCTTGACAACATTGAACTGCGTAGTGCTTCAGTGTAAATCTCAGATACCTGTGGGTTAATTGGCTTGATCGTTTGCACCCATGTAAACAGCAACTCATCAAGCCTTTCTTCATCAAGAGATTCTTCAACCAGTCCGTGAAGTGCTCGAGGACACATAAAATGGAGATGTGTACGGATCGCAACATTGTTAGCATGAGCCAACAGTTGTTGTGTGGGTTTTTCAACAAAGCAGATGAGGGTCTGCAAGAGTTTCACCTGATCAACCAAAGCTTCCATGCCTAAAATGTCATGGATTTCCTCTTCGTTACGATATTCCCTTAAAACATCCAAAATGGAAGTGATGATTTTGGAGATGTCATCAATGGTAAAAAGAGAATCACCAAACTGTAACAACACCAAATCCCTCATAGTGAAGTACCATTCATCTGTTTCATCATGTATGGATTCTATATCACGCAGAAGCTCATCAGCCACAGAAACATCTAATTCAATAAGTTCACCCTCAGGATGAAATTGCTCCGAAAGCTTGTGTACAGTGTCTTCAATCCTTAACAACACAGATGGCAGATTTGTGTCATCTAGCTGGTTGTTCAAATTTCTTGCGGAAATAAGAACGAATATTTTCAGACCATTTAAGTAAAATATGAAATTCACATGTTCTCTAGTTATGCGACCTGAATGAGACAATTTGTTCAGCATAAAGTCCAGATCATGTAAAGCACAACCAATAGAAGCAACAATGCAACTGGAATCCATTTTTTTTGGCTGTTTTTTGGGTGGAAAATATCTAAACTATGAAGGTTTATAGGAAGGAGGTAGGATGATGGAAGATCTGAAAATTAACAGAATAGTCTAAATGGCAGAAAAAAAGATAGAGAGACTGAAATGATGTAAGAAAATGCAGAAATTAAAAGACCAAACGATCGGCAGCAATCCATGTGAATCACAGCAGGAAATCAAATGCAGACTTCAGACTTCTCAGATTAAAGAAAGAACAAGAACAAGAAGAATAGGAGAAAGAGAAATGGGCAGGCTGCTAAGACATGAACTCACAATCAGTTCCAGATCATCAGACGGTTTGACTTTCAGATTAAACAGAATAAAACAGGTCGGAGTTTGTGGTTGAGCTACACAATTCAACAAATGCTTGGATTTAGTTTTTTAAAAAAAAAAACAAAAGAAAAAACAAAAAAGGAAGAAAAAAGAGAAGAAGAGAAGAGTTGCTGACAGGTTCTCAATACAAATACGCTTAGACTTAGTCAAGTTGTTCATTAGATGTGGATTGAAAATGTTTTTTTATAGTGATACATCTGTATATATTCTTCTTACTCATGATCTGCTTAATTTGACTTTGGTGCACCATTAAGCAGTGCTCTTAATTTTAGTAAAGATCTACAGCCAGCCAAAGACTCTTCTGCATTTTCTTGTAGTGAATAGGTAGACCAAACCCCTTGAGGTTTTCAACTTGGTCCAATTCTAGCATCCAGATTGTCCAATTTCAGTTTCCATCTTACTTTTGTTCATTTGCTCTACTGTTGGCTTACATGTTGATGATAGGAATACTTTGATGAATGAGGAATGGGAGGTGTTTATGAAGTCTACAAAACAAACTGGCAACTGGATCTAGATGCTTGAGTAAAAGGATAAAAGAATAAATAAACTTAAAACTGTTAGAGAAATGGTTAGAAGTAGAACTTAGAAGGGTTAGCACAATAAACAATATGTACCTAAGCACAAACTGCTGATCTCAAGTATGAATTAACACAGAAGATTATGAAATTACAAAAAGAAAGAAATAGGAAAACCTACATGATCATTCTGCCCAAAAAACAGGCAGATCAATGATCACATGAACAAAAACCCTATGCATCTCAAACACTGTAACTTTCACACCACCAACTTTAGTACACATATATATCTCCTATGAGGAAAGGAAGAGTGCAGAGATCTCCACAATCTATGTTTTTCACTAACTTTTCTTCTTCTTGATGGAGTCCTACCGTTTCACACTTTCAAGGTCTTTGTCGAGCGAAACCAGGCTGAAACACGGATATAACAAGAAGCTACATTATTTGTGGAAGAAACAAACCAAAAAGTACGACTAATACTTATTTTCATCATAATTATTCTAATTCCAATAGTCTACCAAGACCTGGCATTTGATTAGTTTAGGAAAGAACTTGAATGTTTGGGGAGAATGAGACAGAAGGCAATTGTACCTGGAGAAGCATGGATGGTGCTGCTGTAGTAGCTTCAGAACTGACATGGCTTCTTGTCTTTCTTCCGTTTAATGTAGCTACTGATGGGCTATTCATTGCTATGTCCCAAAAGCTCCGCTTCTTTGCCGTAGGAGCTGGAGACAAAAAGCGATGACTTGGACTCTTTAACTCACCCTGTGGTGGTTGTTGCTTTGGCCGCGCACTAGCTCTTGTGACAATTCTTCTCCCACCTTCCCCTCCTGTTCCAGGTAATTTGGAACCTTTCTGTGAAAGCTGACGGATAAAATCATCTTTCTGTTTTATTTGAAGAGCATGATCTTTCTTCAATCTTCCAATCTCCGCCTCCAATTCTTTAACAGTCTTCCTGAGTAGAACAGTTACATCTGCTCCTTTTTTCTTGGATTCTGGGGTAAAACAATTGCCACCCAAGAAAGAGGGTCTTGGTTTTCGTTTCTCATGAGGTTGAGCGGAAGCTGGTGCTGGAGATAAGAGAGAGGAGGTTGTGGAAGGGGTAGGTGAAGAATTTGCTGCCAATGTTTGTGCTTGGACAGTTAAAAGCTTTTGCTGTTGGCGAGCCAATTGCATTCGCAACTCTCTGTTCTCTTTCTGCAACTCCAATAACAACTTTGTCTGATCTGTTTCTGAATCTGGTATTTGAACTTCATTTGCATCACAAGTCTGCAAAGAAACAATTAAGTTAATAAAATATATTTGTTGATGTAAAACCCATTGCAAAATGATGGGGCATCAAAACCAATCTAGTCAACAAACAGAACTGTTCTTGCAACAACTTTGATTTTTGTCGCCAACTTAACGGAAAGATGACTCCAAGAAACTACATTCCCACAGCTAAGATTAACGATAAAGTCTAAATTTGTGAAGTACACAATGAACTAAACGAATTAGGATTTAATAAATTCTTAACCGCTTGAAAGCTGGCTTGCTTACGGTATGAGATGCTTACTTAGTCAATTAGAAGTTGAAGATACCATCTTGATGACTGATACTTTTAAACGTTTCCCGAATGCACAATGAAAAAGCTAACTTTAAGAAATATGTGACCACTTAGTGTCAAAATAATGTTATGAAGATTCAGTAACAACAATATGAATCAGGATATACTGAACACAATGAAAACAAAAGAAAAAGAAAAATGAAACCTTTGTTCGAATTTCTTTAGCCCGATCAGCCCAGTGAAGAGTGTTTTGTGTTTCACCGAATGAGAGGTTGCTTGGGCTGATATTTGCAATCATCACTGTATTACAAGCACCACCAAGAGAGTCCTTGAGCAACTGGGTAAGCTTGGAATTTCGATATGGGATATGCTTCTTCCCCTCAACCAGGGCATTGATACAGCTGCTTAAAGCAAGTAGTGACCTGTTTATGTTGGCACCTTCAAGGGATCTAAGTGTCCTCTGGTCAGTAGCTAGAGCTCTTTCAGAACCAGCAAGATCAATAAGTGAAAGTTTTCCAACTCGTTGGACAACCATGTTGGATGCATCTTTTACTTTATATTCAACCAGAACCTGAGTATGGCACAAAAGGAATGAAACAATCAAGAAGGTGATGTAGCACACAAGCGAAATAGAAATTTGCAAGGAAATTACCTGCAGAATGGCATGAGATCGCGATGAAGTTTCATTGGCTCGTGTGGGTTCGGTTGTTCGGTTGCGATTCCCTTGCTGAAGTAATGCCATTACCTGTTTCACAATAAAAATGTGGTTACCATGAGATTTCTTCTCAAGCAATTACCATATAAAATCTCCTCCTTAGTTGAAGGGTAAAGACAAGATTACCTCATCTGTGGAGTATGCTCTATATTGGGTGAGACCAGCAGCCACTATACCCTGAAATATTTAAGAAGCTACAGTTACAATTCTAAAGAATGATGAATAAGTTTCCTCCAGATGTTTAACCATCAAAGACTACAAGTTTTCCTATAACATGTCAAGTCTTTATGCATCTGCGTTCATTTGATAGTTCATGGACTGGACATGAGCCTAAGCAGTAGGTATAATTTCTTTACAATTTCAATTCCAGGAATATAGCAGGAGTTGCACCTTATACTTTCCAAAAAATATATGCAAGAAATGTTGGAGAAATATCGTATCAAAATATTTGGTTGGCAGGCCATTAGTAACTTGAAAAAGATCAACTCGGTTGACATTGTACTTCCATCAGTTGAATAAGAAACAGAACTAAGTAACATAAAAGCTTAATTCTAACAAATGCAACAGATCAGAAAAACACGATCAATAACTTACATGTTTATCCTCACGAAGGACCAAAGGCCGTCCAGGAGAAAGCAAATCTCGAACTGTTTCATTGTAAACCTCTAGATAGGACAGCTGAACAACATGGTTCCCTTCAAAGCTTCGCTGCCTTATCTTGTTAAAGAGATCTTTAATTGCCAAGACCATTACACCTGGATTCTCTACTGTACCTAGCATTGTATGTGTCTTTCCTGCTCCAGTGGCACCATAGCAAAAAACAGATCCATTTTTCCCCTGCAAGACTGCTTCCACAAGCTCCGCTGTTCTGAAAATTAAGGTGAAATGTCAACAACTTATCTCATCTAAAACTGAATGAAGACTGGAGAGTCCAAATCATGATGACTGCTCTAGACACCAACTCAAATCTAACTTAAAAGTTCTTCAAAATCAACAAACTTTACAAAACCAGTGGCAGATTGTGAAAGTTGCTCCACATTTAGTTTGTAACAGCAATTAAAACGAAGTTTTGGGAACTCAGTCCTAGCAACAAAATCAGTTTGGGTTCTACCCAAGGGTTCGATGTTCAAAAGTGAAGAAACAATTATAGTCCTCAAGTTTCCAAGATAGCCTCACAAGCCAAAAGGAAAGCAAATGGCTTCTGAGCTATCCTAACAGTTTCAAAAGTTTCAGATAGTATCAGGTTTAACACAAACTAACAGAAATAGAGATTGCTCAAATGACCAGAATCTGAACATAATTTAGGCCCTAAAATCTTATGGTGTTAAAATCAGGCTTCAAATTCATATCAATTCATCTACATCAGATTGATCAAATGACTATAAAGATTTAGGTCCTAAAACTACAAGTTGAATTCATAACAAAAAGGTTATATCCGTAGTAGCAAATTTGTTAGGAAACAACATTCAACAAATTATTCCTGAGGGTTTCAAACTAAAATAACGATGAGGGATTCAATAAAAAGTTTTCCGAACTCACGTTGTGGAATACACTTCCAGCTGAGTTGTGGAGTCTGGAAACGCGGAATCAAAAGTAAAGTGCCTTCCCCTAACCCTTTTTAACCTAAGATAATCATTCTCAGAGGCAAATTCTGTGAGAAAAACATCCCTTTTATTCACAATTCTAACACAACACCTTGATCCAGCTTCCTTTTCCTTCTTTGCCATTGGCCTTAACCTCACAAAAACAAGAATTCTGCTTCCATTTCCATCATTTTCCTGTTTCTCTGAAGCAGTCTCCAAATCATGCTCATTTCCCCTTTTAACCCCTCTGGGTTCTGAATGTGGCACCACATTTCCTCCCATAGACAACTTTCTTGCTACAGTACGAGAAATATTTACATTTCTTGGACGGGAAAGTCCCACAATTTGATCATTTCCAGCCCCTAAAGCCACATTCTCTTTCGCATCCTCCGCATCACAAGGCTGTGGCATCACAAAATTCCTCGTCAGAGTTGAATTAGGCATAACATTTTCCCTCATCACATGGCAAATGGGCTTTGATTCTTCGAGCTCTTTCTCATTTTTCCTCTTAGAATCGAGAAGGTCCACGCTGGGATGGGTTGAGAATCTTGGCTCTTCATGCTTTGAAGTAGGGTTCTTGACAGGATTTGAGGCTTGCTTCTGCTGTTCATACAAAACGGTCAGTGCCCTCATCTTCTCTTTAAGCCCATGATGTGGATTCCTACCTAAATTAACCATTTGTGACTCTTCTTGATCTTTTATCTCTCTCTTTCTTTGTTCTTGACATGAGTCATCCTGTAATTGGTGAACGACAACTTGAGACCTTGTGGACACTGGCATTCTACCTCGGAATTTACTTCCTAAAAGATCCAAACATGCCCTAATTTATCTTGATTCTTGATACCCAGTTGCTGAAACTTCTTGAATTTCAATAAAGTTTGGATTTTTGGCAGCAAAACTGCAAGAACTCTGATGGGCTGACAGCAGAATTTGGGAGTAGAGGTGGGAGACGCTTGAACAGTTGAGCTGAGAGGAGAGAGGGGGGAAATTTCGGGGTTAAGACTGTAATTTGGAAGGGTTTTCTCTTATCTGAGAATAAATCTGAGCCGTTGAAAGTAGATTAGATTAACGGTAAGCAGTAAAGTTGAAGCTAGCAGTCTGTTTTATGCTTTTGGCACTCTCTATTGTGTTTGTTCCTTTAAAAGTTGTTTCCTATTCGGGTGTGGCAGAAGTAAAAGTTTTGGGTGACCTATGATGATAAAGTGAGCATTTTTTTGAATATTTGTAACGGTCAAAATGTGTGTGGCAGATTACAAACGGTCAGTTCGCAAGAATTATGGATCTATTTTAAGAGTTTGCTGCTTTCTTTTTGTGTGTGTCTAAAATCCCAAAAAGGGAAGAAAAGGAACAAATTGATACAGAATGGCATGGACCTGAGATTGAAGATTCGAAGATGATGAAATCAATATCCGAAGTTGTTGGTGATGATGGTGAATAAATAAATTAAAATCGACCGCAATAAAAGTTGAAAATCCAATCATTGTTAAAGGTTTTTTTTTTAATGGAAAAAAAATTCTTCCTCCGTCCCATAACTATTGTCCTGTTTAAGTTTTCATTTTTAGTTCAAATTGTATTAAACTTAAAAACTCAAACTGGACAATAATTATAGGACGGAGGGAGTAGTTGATGTATTCTGCTCCAGAATTTTTTTTACACGAAACCAGTCTTACTCTAATTCATTATTTTGAGATAGAGAATAGCACTTTTTCTATTTCAAAATAATTGTTCCTTCTAAATTTTCACTTTTTGTACAAATAAAAATCTAAGTTGAATAATTATTTCTAGAGAGAGGAAAATTCTTTGTTTTATCTTGTTAATGGAGAATCTATAGCGCAGTTAGTGAAACGGTACATACATAATACAACAATTAGTTTTCATTAACCTTTTTCTAACCTCAAAAGATGGACTATAAAGCACAGTTTTTATCAGTTAAAGTAGGACTGCTAGTGTCATTTGGTTTTATTTACCTACTTTGTCTTGATCACCTCACTTAAATGTTTTTAACCAAAAAGTCAAATAGCTATGTAACGCACGCGATTCTTTTTAATAGTCTAGGTTGTGGTTAGTTAGGTAATTACATACATCTTTAGTCTTTACAAATGCGGGTTGCTCTTTGTTATCCCCTAAATTTTACGTAGCATCTTCTTTGGACAAATTTACTCCTATTATAAAATTAAAATATACAAAGTATTTTGTTTATTTTCTCCAAATCCTCCCAAACTACAAAATAAAAGAAAGAAAAAGACAAAAGAAAATTTTAACAGCTGCCGCTAAATAATTGTCATTTTGAATTTTCACTACAAGTAGTGTAATATTTGTACTGTGAATAAAAATCTAAGTTAAATAATTAATTCTGCACAGGGGAGTTCTTTGGTTTTATCTTGTTAATGGAGAATCTATAACGTAATTGATGAAAATGAATGGTAAACATGATTTTTAGTACTGCTGTCGCCCCATATTACATGGGTGCTTGAGATTACTAGTCATGAAAGCAGATTTTTTTTTTTTTAGGAGCAAATAGTCTTCCCGCATAGAAAGTATGCGGAAATCTTAACAGAAATTAATTAATAAAACCGCATAACAAATATGCGGATACCCGAATTTATTTTTTTTTAAAAAAAAAAACAGGCTTAAAAATCATTTTGGGGGTAAAAGTTTCGAAAGTCAAATTTGAGTTGAAGCAAATACGGCCATATGAGGAATGTGGATTTAATTATCTTAATTTTTTTAAAAAAAAAATTTAGTACGCCAGAATTGGCTGGAACTTGGAAAGGTAAATAAAAACTGAATAAGACAAAACCGCAATCAAAATCCCTTATATTAAGAACTGGAGGGAGTAGTAATTGTTTAGATTTGATTTAGGTCACTTTATCTCTACCCGAAACTTTGGATTGTTCTCCTTTAGCTCAGCGTGGAGCTGCAACATTTGAGGAAGTTTGGAATATCTGATTGCTATGGGAATGGGAAATGGGGTAATGGAGGGAGTTGCTTTTGCTTCAGGGAGTTGCTTGCCAGAGTTGGGTGAGCTCCTAAACCCTACTCGCAAAGGCATAGATATTACTCTGTTCTGTAAATATTATCGTTTCTTCTAATTCTATCCAAGGTGTATGGATCAGCTAGAAAGATTGCATTTTGTTTTTCTCAGTTTCTATATTCTTTCTAGTAATGGTTGTACTTGTTGATTATTTCTCTTATATCCAAACTGCAGATCGTGCCCCCCTACATCAGTAGAATGGGTCAAGTTGGTTGATAGTTTGTAAGGTTGGATGATTGAAACGATCAAGTTGCTACGTTTTATATAGAATTCAACTTTTTTTCTGAACCATTTGTGTTTTAAGTGCCAAAGAATGACTATTAGTCTGTGATCCCTTTAAAAAAAAAGTAGGAATCTAGGATGGAATCTAGTCTGTGATCCCTTCCATTTTCAGAGCCGAAGAGCTTCTTCAGAGAGTGCAAGGAGAAAATTTGAGGGCAAATTCTAGATGAAACCGGACTGAGGGATAAACACTGTTTTTTCATATTGATTTGACATAGTATTAGGGTTCATCACCCCGCTCAAGGCCTACAATCTTAACGTGTTTCACCGTCAACAATATGTTCATTTGAGGTTTTAAGTAGTAGTAGTACTACTACTACTGGGTCTTAATATGGTTATATATGAATATACTCCCTCCAGTCCTGATATGGTATTTTGATTTGTCTTAAGTTTCACCTAGTATACATTTTTAATTTAAAAAAAATTTAAAAATATATTTTCATATTCGTTGTGTGTTCTCTTAATTATTAAGAAATATTTTTAAGGTTTTTTTCAATTGAAAATGCATATTATGTGAAACTTATAACAAATCAAAATGGCTTATATTAGGGACAAGAGGGAGTATATCTTTTTATTAATTTGACTAGCATTCTTTATATTAGTGATAGATGTTTTTATCTTGAAGTCAAGAAAGCCTTGAAACTATTTTTCTGTAAAACTAATTGGGTTTGTGTTTTTTCTCATTTCTTATTTGTATCCAATTCAATATAGAAGTGCGTTTTTTTTAAAAAAAAATTGTGTGTATTTTTTTTTCTACCGAGAGATTAGTAAATCCCACTATATACAGATTTATTATGTAGAAAAAAAGAAAATACTACTCCAAATATACCAAAATAAATGCCTTAAAAAGTCCATCAGTAAACTACAGATAATTAAATAGAAAATAAAGAAAAAGGGATGAAACATATATTCTAGGGTTCATACCGAGAATGATTCCCCCGGAAACCAACCTCCTGCTTGTCCATTGTTTGGCAACTTTCCCTTCCCCCACCAAAAAAAAAAATAGAGACAGAGAAAAAGAGAATTGTTTTTAATAGTGAAATATGGCAATTTATTGGGTGTACTATGAAGCACCATACTCTCCCTCCTATTTTTTGCACTATTAGTCCTCATTTTACTTTTTTTACTTTTTTTACTTTTTTCTAATAATCTTTGTATTATTTGTAAGTTTAGTTCCTATCACTTTTTTCTCTCTCTTCTAAAAAAAACATCTCTAATATTCAAACGATCATATCTCTCAATCCGTGAAGAATTAGAAAATATGTTACACATGAATTTTATTGTATTCATCGAGATCTATCCAACAAGATCCACGTCGAATATTTATTCCGAATTTAAAAATGACTAAATTTCGATGGGCAGAATAAGATGGATATCTAGTTTAGAAGGATGGATAACCAGTTTAGTTTAGATTAAGATTCTTATATTGCATATATCTCGTGATCCGTAAAGAATTAGAATACGAATTATACATGAAATTTATATTGCTCGACGAAATCTATCCGATAAGATCCATATTGGAAATTTTTTTTGAACTTTAAATGCATTTAAATTTTACGGGCAGAAATGAAGAAATGTGTTTTTCATTTTTCTTTGAAAAATGGTTATCCGTTGTGTTCCTACTGATTATCCAACTGGTTTGGACTGATTATCCATTCTGTTTGTACTTGTTATCCAATCATATTTTTGACATTCACTCTTCAAAAGAAAAGAAAGAAAAAAATGATTGGATAAGCATTGCAAACAATTTGGATAATCAATATAAAATAATTGGATAATCAGTGCAACACGTTGGATAATTAGTACAAAAAAGTTTGACAATCATTTTCATAAAAGAGAAAGGAAAAAAAATACTGGATAACCACCACAAAGAAGTTGGATAATCAATATGAACACATTGGATATCCAGTTCAAGAAGATGGATAACCAACTTATTTTACATTCATATTGTTGTATTCCTTATATCTTTTGATCCGTAAATAATAATAACACGAATTACATATGATATTTATAGTGCTCGACGAGATCTACCCGATAAGATCAATGTTGAATATTTCTTTTGAACTTTAAATGCATTTAAATCTTACGGGCTGAAATGAATAAACTGAAAAATGATTATCCGTTGTGTTCATACTGATTATCCAACCGATTTGGACTAATTACCTATTTTGTTTTATCCAATCATATTTTTTACATTCACTTTTCAAAAAAGAAAAAAAGAAAAGATAGATAACCAACTTAGTTTATATTGATATTCTTGTATTACATATATTTCTTGATCCATAAAGAATTATAACACGAATTATATATGAATTTTATAGTACTCGACAAGATCTATCCAACCAGTTTGGACTGATTATTCATTTTGTTTGTACTTGTTATTCAGTCATATTTTTTACATTCACTCATCTTCAAAAAAAAAGAAGAAAAAAATAAAAAAAATAAAATATTTATATAAGCATTACAAACAATTTGGATTTCATTAAAAATAATTGGATAAGTAGTACAAGCTGGTTGGATAACCAGTACAAAAAAAATCGGACAATCATTTTCATTAAAAGAGCAATTAAAAAAAAAGTCGGATAACCATCCATCACTGGGAAGTCGGATGGATAATCAGTACGAACACATTGGACAGATTTTTTCTCAAAAGAAGAAAAAAAAAAGAAGAGAAATTATGTTTGGATAATCAGTAAAAACGATTGGATAAGGCATACAAAACGATTGGATAGTCAGTACAAAAAAACTGGACAAGGATTTTCGTAAAGAGTAGAGAAAAAAATGGTCGGATAATTTATACAGAACAGTTGGATAATCAATACGAACGCGTTGGACAATCATTTCTTTTTATCAAAAAAATAATAATAAAAAGAAAAACCAAATGGATGGATATCCAGTACAAACGAGTTGGATATCCAGTACAAACCAAATGGATATCCAGTACAAACAAGTGGGATATCCATTACAAACAAGTTGGATAGGCATACAAACCAAATGGATGGATATCCACTGCAAACAAATTGGATAAATATCTAGTGC